CCGGTGCATGTTTTGACATTGCGGAGGAGGAGGAGAGTCCTGCTGCTGCAGCACTGTTTGGTTCATCAATAAACCCCCCTGTCCAGCTCGTTTCAAGGTGTTGTTCGGATGGGTCCTCGTCCAGCAGCATGGGGCCGAGAAAGCAACAACATATAGGTCTGTCTGTCCCAGATAGACGGCCAAAGGTTATGTCTATTCAATGGCGGGAGGGGCAGACATCCGATAGTACACGGTATTGAGGCCGCTTGCTGTCCGGACCTTTCTGCTCTCTCTGCACAGCATGACTCCAGTGCGCCTTCGCCCGGAAGCGATATGCGCACGAGGATTTTCGCACCTGCGCATACCTACCTATGCTCTGTTGGTAGGGCCAGGAAGCAGACATGATGAGATGCTCGATCCGCGAGCTTGATAGATGAGGTGGCTAGGGGGGATGGTTTGTAGCGTGAAGCAAGATTGGTTCAGGCCGTCATGTTACGGTTGTATGCGCTGGTCGGGAGTTTCAAGTGTCATGTCGCTGCCGAATCACCATGGAGGTACGAATAGACAACATGAAAAACTAGGCCGAGGAAATGGGCAAGGTCTTGGCCGTCATCCCGAGTTCCCCTCCGCTCGCCTGCTGCGTTTGCTCCAAATGCTCGACGGCTTGGCCTTGAGGAATCTCCACTTCAGGTAGATAGAAAGGTGACACCGACAGCAGTCACTGGTAGCTCTCCTCCCCCTCCTCCTCCTCTTCACTCGCGCTTTGCGACAGGATGGGATGGCATGGAGGGACAACGGCATGTGTGGATCGCTTGACGCATCCACGCATCTTCTTTCGCCTGCCTCTTGAGTTTTTAGTGTGTATCTCTTCCTTTGCGGCCTTGCCATTGAGCGCAGTGCGGAGAAGTATTGATGAACTGGCATTGGGTTTTGCAGGCCCCAACAAGTCCCTTTTCGCCAATCGGGGAGTTCAGAAGCCAACCGCACTCAAAAGAACGGTGTGCGATACCTGGCGAGACTTTTGCGCCCAGGCTCCAGATCTCCTCGCAGGGATGAGCTATCCTTCCCGAACGCAGCTTGTTGCTCTTTGTTTTGCGTTACCTCGCAGGTCGGGGCTCCACTGCCACGTCGAGGTTTGAACTTTGGACTGGTCGGCTTTGGGGAATGGAACAGTCGATGGCCTTTTTGTTGGACCCTGTTTTTGCCCTCTTGATGGAGATGGAGGAGGCGAAGAAGATTCCGACAGCGAATCGACATATTTCTCAGGATTCAGGAGCAGTCGCGGTCTGCGTGTCGGCCCAGTCGTTGCGCCCATTCGACCCGATTAGCTCGTGGACCCTATCCCGGTACGATGCGATGCCATGCGATGCGATGCCATGCCATATTCATCCACAACCGCCACCAGCGCAACACTCTGCGAAACAACACAGACCAGCCCAACCTAACGATATCTGCGACTCGTCTTCGATTGGTCACTCGACTCCATCCTGTCAATCGCGGGCTCTGCTGCCGGTTGCTGGTTTGGGATACAAACGGGTACCACCAAGCTAGGAATGGAGCTGGGTGTGAGTGAGAGTGTGTGTTGCTGGATTCTACCGGGAGGATCGGCGCTTTCCCGCGCATAGTGGCTTCAACGCTTTTGGCGGAGAGAAACGATAGAGGGGAGGCAGCATCAGTCAAATTCTGCGACCCTGGTGCGTCACACTCGACCTACTATTCTCTTCGTATGGCTGGGTAGCTTTTGCCACGCCACTTCTGCCCCTCTTTCACCGTTCTTCCATGGGAGACTCTGAGGCCATAAGGACTCGTGAGTCGTGGAGCATCGGATGGAGTGAGCTAGTCGAAATGGATTGCGACTGTGTGTGTGCGATTGCGCACACGCGCGCGCCTTCGAATACCGTCAATCAAGGTGGACAAATGCACACACCCGTTCCCCTCCTCACTCTTTTAATATTTCTCTCCCCCGTCACTCTTGAGCAGCTGGTGTTCGATGCTGCTCTGCTGAGCGCGGCAGTCTGAAAGATAGCGGGAGGAGGCAATGCGACGGGCAAAGGGTCTTCCAGGACAGCTGGCGTACCGTGCGCTCAATCTTGCTTTGCACTGCCGGCTGGTATCCAGTTTTTGTGCTTGAAGTCTGCGACAGGTTGCAGGGGGCATGTTCGAAGCCGTCGCATGTGTGCTAAGCCCTGGGAGCTTTCGTATTAAGCTAGCAGTTCCCTCTTGAACTGTTACGCAATATCCGCCGACGCTCGACAATCAATGGCGAGTCGCGATGGAATGACTATGATATCCGTCAGTCAAGCTGAGCTGTGCGGCCCATTCCAAGACACTCCGTCGCAAGGTGATGGAGGGTGGTGCTGTGCGACTGTAGAGCCGAGCATGAGAAAAGAGTGCGCGTGCGAAAGAGAAATGCGCCGAATCCAGTCAGATGCAATTGTGGCACCCTCCGTCCAGTCGCCGCCCCGGGCCTCGAGCCTTCGACCTTGTGCCTGGAAAGGAGGTCGTCCCGTCTAGCGCAGCTTGCGTGGCGGGTCATCGATGAGGGGTGAGAAGGAGAAGTTGTGCTCATCATGCAGAAATATTAATTGTCTGCGCACATCCCAGCCGGTCCCTGATGGCCCCCCTCGTTTTCCATCATGCAGCTGGAGAGGTTGACAAGAGACATGGCCCGACGTCCGACAAGCGACGAGTCGCAATTCTGTTCTTGATCAAAACAAACAAAGCAGATGCTTCGGGCGCATCGCGTTGCGCCAATGCGACTGGCTAGGAACGAATGCTCTGCAGGATGGATCTGCCCATGCCGGTCGCAAGTTGTTGGGCCAGGCGCGTACGTCCAATTCCGTCGCATTTGTCGCCAATTGCGCCAAGTTGAACAACTTGCGTTGCAAATTCGTGGTGCAACGGCGCCGGGGTGCCTCAAGAGAAGGTTTTCATCGATACTTGGGTGAGTCGCAACGCTGACGATGCGGCGCATTTGGAGGCGAGCTCCGCTACTGAGCGGGAACGTGTGACGAATTCACCACGTGACTTCGTGATTAATTGGTGTCAAGTGAGGGCGCGGTCAGCTGATTATGGTCTGCGGGATGAAACTGTCAACCTCCGGTACATATCACGCCTTTTGGCTTCAGATCAGATTTTGATATCATCTGATGTATCTTTTGATGGTTTTTTATGAGTTGATATAATTTTGTGCTGACAGTATCAAACAATGTGTTCCTTTGAATGTCATTTGGAAGACGCGACGACAAGAGGAGGGCCGAAATCATGTTCCCCTTTTGGACTAGCGTTACCCTTCCACAATTGCGAAAGCATGACGACAGGGGATTGAGATACCGAGGATTTCCCGTCATTCCTGCCGTCCGGTCTCTCAATCGGTTTCCGGATTTCCGTTTCACACAGCATTTAAGCTTCCTCTTCAATTTGGTGCTTTACCTGTCTGCGAACTGGTGCCCTCAAAATTTCGTGCGCTTTATTGACTGTGTAGAAGTGTGAAAATGGGAGTAAAGTAACGCGAAAGAAATCAGAGTTGCTAGCTTCCCCAAGCGAAATATTGGTGAATCCTCGCAAAGTTGGTATGGTGGAAACAAGACGAGCATGATCACCAGTCGCAATTTCCAATCCACGAGCCCGATTCGCGGCTTTCGATGCCGCCAATAATTTATCCCTTCAATTATCAACAGCATGTATCATTCGGGAAAAGCGTGCTAGCCTGAGGCTTAGATGCTGATACCAAAAGACAACTCTGCTGGCCCATGCACAGAGCATGCGAATGACCCAGAAAACAATTGGTCTCGACGAACTTTGCAATCCTGCCCTGACACGAATGGTACTAATGACTCCTGTAGTCGTAAAATTGACCGAGGCAAGATCACTGAATATCACATGATGTACTCTTCGACATGATTAACTACAGCCTTCCCTAGTCATACTGGCATGGCTTTCCAGATGGCCTAGATGAAGTAAGTAACTTGAACAAACGTATGCCTGCTGATTGGAATATCTGGCCAAATGAGGGGAGCTCATATGTCTCTAATAGCACCATATTTGATTCGCCCAGCCTATCTTTTTGCTCCGACTGTCTGTTCTTACCAGTTGTCTTCCATTTGCAGACGCTTCCAGGGTGCTTTATCTCCGCCATCAGTTGTTGATCCTTGGAAATCTGTTACGTAGTAGTACGGCATGCTGGAATGAGACGATACCGTGCTTTAGTTCCGTCGCTTGAGTCCTCGAAATATCCTCAAGAGACAATCAAGATACGGCAATGAGGAACAGTCCTCCTCACTTCGATGCAAGTGGGCGCACTCGAGTGTAAAGTACTTCGCAAGGATACTTGAACCATTGACAGTTGGAGCACGGGCAAAACAGGTGGCATAGGCCAAGACTCGTGCCTGCGTAGAAGATAAATGCTCATCAGCTGGTGTTCTTCGCTGTTCGAACTGCAGCAGACAGCAAGAATACATGTCCCATTTTGGAAGCATTTTGGAAGCTTCTATGAATCGACAAGTCAAACTCAATAAGCCACTCAATATTGATCGTGCTGATTCGGAGCATTATCAGTCTGTCAAGCAGATATTTTTCTTTCCCGAAGAATACTTTATTCCACCATGACATTGAATACACCGAGAGGCTACTTTACCTAGGCTCTCGAGAGAATATCTGGATGAACAATTGCTTCTAGGTATACGTGACGAAAGTCCGGTCGCAACCACAGCTTCATAACATCAATTGGGACTGCAGGGAGCTTTGAGAGGTTGTACTCAGGACCTGGTATTGTGTGGGCAGTGCCGAGGAAAAGAATACAACCAAGGTCAGAATGTTCTGGGGCGATCAAGGCAGTAATTACAGGCGTGGGACTCTAACATAGCGCGAAACTAAGCCAGGTTGATTAGCAGAGAAGGAAAGCAAAGGCGACGTATTCAGGAAACCCCGGCAGGACAAAGACCATCGTTACAGTTCAATACAACGCACTAGAAGTCGAAGGACAATGTTTGCCACAATCGGTGCCGTGGCAATGGCTAATATCACAGCTCGGAGTACGATGGGTTTCGGTTTCGGGCGTGGCTTCTTCGGGATAGGCTGAATGGCACAGCTAAAAGACTGGAGGAGAGAATAACGGCAGGCTTGGCTTGGCTCGTCAGGGACCGATCAACGACTTCGAGCCTCGAAACGATGCGTTTCGTATGCCTTTTTTGTTCTGGACCGCTATGGCGTTCCTTCCACGAGTCGCCCAACGTTCTAGAGGCCAGCGTGGGTCGGCTGCCTTTGTCTTCTCGAGCGGGAGCCAAGCTAATGGTAAACGTTCCGGGTTTCAGTAGCACAATGGACAAAGGATTTTCGTAAGAAGCCGTTGATAAAGGGACTGTCGAGAGTGAAAAAGGGAAGAGGTTATCGAAACGGGTGACGAACGGCGTCTCGTTGTACGAGGTTGGTCTGGGAAGATAGTCAGGTAATATTTGGCGCAAACAATCCAGAAGTTGAAAAACAACAACGATGTTGTCTAGGATGGTGTGGTACTGTATTATGTGGTCTGGGTGAAACGATGACACAAGACTCGTGCCTTGCTTTCGCAACGCATTGCTCAAGCGTAGTTCCCCGGATTTGCTCATGCGCATCGTTGCGCAGAGACATGGGCCGGCCAAAACATGGAATCGGAGACAGGGCCCATTGGAAGGAAGTATACGGAGTAAGGTAAGGTAAATGCACACGAACGTACGAAGTACGCTCAATTGGCCCCGCGGCGATGATGCTGGGTCCCACTCATCCACCGGCCAACGGTAAGGCTCCATCGCTCTCAGCCAATGGAGTGGCGCGTTGGTACCGCGTCTCCGGTGCGTACCTCGGATTTCTCAGCTGTATTGACAAACACGGAAGTAAACAACCCAAAAAAGTACACTGCACATTCTGGTCGCTCCAACCTTACCAGGCCGTTTTTGGTCATAAGCCGCCCGCCGTGGCAGTTACCCATCGTGCAGCTTTTTGGCTGAGACCTTTTTTTCTCTTCTCATCAAGAGTTGTTTCCAAACTCTCCATCCCCGTTCCCATCCTTCCTCCACTTTGGTCGTTGTCGAGGCAGCGTGGGTCTGGTTCTTATCCTCTACCATCCCGCAGAGATAAACCGACCTTTCCCTTCTTTTATATCCCTACCGGTCGCAATCTCCCGTCCCTCGCCCATCCCTTCACTCCGACCAAACGTGCCCGTATCTGATCGGCAGCAATTGGGGACCACGACTTTCCACAACACGGCCAACCGAGTCACTGTGGTGTTTACATGCTATCCCACGCGCAATTATTCTCAGTCCCACGATAATCACATCAACATCCACTGCGCGCCTTCATAATATTTCACTGCCCCACAAAGGTGCCCTCCCGAGCAGATTCAACCAGCAGCACTAAGGTAGCTGTCTGCAAGACCAGCAGTCGCGATGGACGCTAGAGTAAGTCACTATCCTCCCTCGCAACGACCACGCCCGCGTACCTCACCTCAAGGACCAAGCAAGGGCGACTTTCTCAAACTATCGACTGACTTGACTCAAACAGCCTCAGCGCCTCAGAGTCCACCCAGGTGGCAACGAAAACATCATCCCTTCGAAGCACGATTCTCTTCATCAGCGACACAAGTCTACCGGTAACCTGCAAGCCATGCCTCGCAACGGTGCTCTGCAGGTTGCTGCTAAGCGAACCGCATTTGGCGACGTCAGCAACACGGTGAAGAACCTGATCTCGCTTCCCAGCGACCAGGTTGCGGGTAAGGGCAAGGCTGTGGATTACATCTACAACAAGGAGAACGCGGTCAATGGCAAAGATGGATTTTCCAAGGCCGCCCAGCGGGCCACAGCCCTCAGCAACAAGAACGGCCCCGTGACTGCGGAGTGGAAGCAGCCCAAGACTCAGAACAAGCAGGTTGCCAAGAGATCCTCCGCTGCTCAGCTTTACGAGGCTCGTCCCTCCAAGAGCAAATTCGTGGCCCAGGACCCCATTCCAGAGTCAAACTCTGGCAAACAGCCTCGTCACCACAAGTCTCAGCCTCAGCTTAAGAAGGAGCCTGCTGCGCATGTTTTGCGACGGACACAAAGCAAACTGACCACAGTCCCTGCGCACCCTGCCCCTGCTGCGGCAGTCTGGAAGCCCATGGATGATGTGACGGAGGCTACCTACGAGGATGCTGTCGAGCACATTGGCGATGAACAGTATCACGGCCCGTACCACAGACGCTCGCTGGATGTTGCGGATAGCGACCTACCTGAGGATCTTGTATCATCGAATGCGGCCGTTGACAAGCTTAGCTCCCTGGAGCCTCTTTCCGAATCACTGGGTGTCCCGAACATGTCGGAGGCGGAGGAGTACTGGGACGAGGATGACGAAGAAGAGCTCTACGACGACCAGGGCTACACAACTGCCCACTCTTACCGTTCCCGCGGCGATCTTACTACGGGCGGCGCAACCACTATACTCGCTCCTAAGATTACCGACAAGGTCGAGCAAGAGTTGGAGACTGCCCGTGCCATCGTCGAGAGCACCCGTACCCAGGAGGAGGTTGACGATGAGATCTGGGATGTCTGCATGGTTGCGGAGTATGGAGATGACATCTTTGAGTACATGAGGGAGCTTGAGGTTTGTTTGCCCCGTCCAGCCTTCATACAGGCATCTACTAACCCGTATGCTCCCAGATGAGAATGTTGCCTGACCCTCACTACATGGACAACCAGGCCGAGATTCAATGGTCCATGCGCTCCGTCCTGATGGACTGGCTCGTTCAAGTCCACCACCGATTCAGCCTGCTTCCAGAGACGCTTTTCTTGACCGTCAACTACATTGATCGCTTCCTCTCGTACAAGGTTGTATCCATCGGCAAGCTCCAACTCGTTGGTGCTACTGCGTTGCTCGTTGCCTCCAAGTACGAGGAGATAAACTGCCCGTCGCTGCAGGAGATCGTCTTCATGGTGGATAACGGCTACAAGGTTGACGAGATCCTCAAGGCTGAGCGTTTCATGCTCAGCATGTTGAGCTTCGAGCTTGGCTTCCCTGGTCCGATGAGCTTCTTGCGTCGCGTTAGCAAGGCGGATGATTACGACCTGGAGACGCGTACATTGGCCAAGTACTTCCTGGAGGTTACCATCATGGACGAGCGCTTCGTTGCGAGCCCTCCCAGCTTCCTTGCTGCGGCCGCGCACTGCTTGTCTCGCTTGATCCTGAAGAAGGGCGACTGGGTATGTCTACTCCAACACGTTTATTCTACTAAGCCGCTGACAATGAAACAGACTCCTGCGCATGTCCACTATTCTGGATATACCTGGGGCCAGCTCAAGAACTTGGTTACTATGATCCTCGAGTGCTGCTATACCCCGCGCAAGCACCACCTTGCGGTCTTCGAGAAGTACTCTGATAAGCGATACAAGCGCGCTGCTGAGTACGTTGAGACGGAGATTGCGAAGGGCTTCACCCTGCCCGCTGTTCGCCAGTCCACAGGTCGCGCGGCGGCTTATGACTTTGCCGAAATCGACGGCAACACTGGCCAACCTGATCATGGCAAGCCGATGGTCGAGCTCCAGAGCTAGTGGGACAATTGTGCTCGACCACCGATGACGCATCATGTGAGGGAGTTCCCCGTGCGCCCGCGGGGCACTTGGCTCGATGCAACAACGTTTTTCTTCTCCTAAGCGACATTCGACGCGATATTGGTTGCGACTGCGGCGGCTATCATAATACCACGATTGCGAGCACGGCTGGACAACAAGTCCGGCCATGAGACGCAACGACTGATCGACCGCCGGCAATTCTTTTTACACAATGTTTTAGATCGCATGCGCGGTCTGCTGACGACACTGGACGACTTGACGATACCAATGACTGGTTTCTTACTCAGCCTTTCACTACTTTTTCGGTTGGCCCTAGTCGATTTTGTTTTTTTTCTCTACTACGCGGCCAGGTTGTTTTGGCGTTGGAGGAAGGTTCCTCTAGAGGGCAAGGCATACAAACCTTGCAGACGATGGGCGTGGCTTCCAGGAGCAACATACCAGAACCGAAACCAAAAGCAAGCGCGATACGTGGAAGTGTGGCATAGATGAGCAGGCACAAACTATGATGACTGCCTGAGGGAGGGTTTAGGACAAGGCAATAACTTGTGTATGACTTATAATTCTTTGGCAAAGGGGGTGGGATTTGCATTTTCTATGTACTGTTACAGTTCAGCTAGAGCATCAGCTGAGATGGCCACAATGGATGGCGGCGTCACGGTAGTTGGGTCAGTAAGGAGGCAATGAATATCTTGACAGTACTCTTGGTCCGTTGATCGAATGTGTTGACTGTGATTCAGGCCACTGCTTGCAGACATTGGCTGAATGCCTGAGTACCGAAGTAGATGTCATCTTGGCGCCCCCGTCTACCTACCTTAACTTGCAAGTTTGAAGTAATCCAATAGCAGCAACCATCGACGTTGAAGGTACAGCTCCCTTGCCTGGCCGACGGTAGGTAAGGTAGCTTTAATTGGGCAGCTTGTTATTGTAAGCTGCCCAGCACGCGCACGCCAGCTACGGAAGCTTGAGGTGCCCCACTCGCTTAGAAGCTGGTGGCTGGTTCTCCATGTGGCACTTGCACCATGGGGTAGCTCCGCAGTGCGCCAGGCACTTCATTGGTCAACAGCTCAATTGACGAAGCCGTGGCCGCGGTGCGAGGGAGGTCCCTTTTTTCTCCAAGGCAGTGGTGGATCGATTGCTGTGAGGCCACCTGGCTGTTGTCGCCTGCCAGTCTACGTAGTACGGTTGTCCAGTCTGCCTCTCTTTCCCATTGCTGAATCACCCACCTCACGCACACTTTTATTTCCCGCCTGCCAATCCAACCTGACACCTCAGCGCAAAGACGCACGCGATCTGAGTTGAATTGGGTTTGCCCCAGCCCCCCTTCCATCTGTCTCCATCTCCATCTTCCGTCTGCCACTTCCCATCTTCCTCCTTACCTTACCTCCCTCCTCCTTTCCCTTCCTCCCCCACTCCAGTCAACCTTGCTTGCGATCGTTGAACTGGTCACGTCGCATCCAATTGCTTGTCTCTCGTCGTCGCTACAATGGTTCACCTCAAGTCTTCACTCCTGGCCCTCTTGGCCCTGCCCATCTCCGGCGTTTTCGCTGCCGAGGAGGCCCCTGTACGTAATGTCCTCGACATCTGGAGCTCCCTGACGGTCATTGCTAACCATCACCAGGTCGACACCGATGCTGTCCCCCCGACTCTCAAGGCTGACATCGAGACTACCTTCCCTGATGCCGATATTTTTGGTGTGAAGATCGTCAATGGCCACCCCACCAAGGCCTTGATCGAGTTCACCAACAATGAGGATGCGCCCATTCAGGTTGCCATGGTTGGCGGCACCCTGTCTTCCACTCAGGAGCTCCCCGAGGAGTCCCTTCCTAGTGACAGCATCATCCGCAATCTGACCGCTGCGCGCTACGACCTGACCATCGAGGCTGGCGACAAGAAGGCTGTTCCCTACTCCTTCGCTCTCGATGCCAACCCCCAGGATGTTCTCCTCCAGCTTATTGCTGTCGTAAGCAACTCCAAGGGCGACATCTTCCAGGTCCAGGCTTACAACTCCACCGCCGCCATCGTCGAGCCCCCTACCAGCATCTTTGACCCCCAGATGTGAGTTCTGCAATCAATGCGCCACCATTGAGGCGTGATAACAACCGCTGACAATTCCTGCAGCATCTTCCTCTACCTTTTCCTGTCTGGCGCCTTCGCCGGCACTCTGTACTTTGTCTACAAGACCTGGATCGAGGCTCTCTTCCCCCAGGCCAAGAAGGCCAAGTCCTCCAAGAAGGCGCGCACTGTTAGTGTCACCGTGCCCCTGGCTGAGGCCGACACCACTGGTGTTGCCTCCTCAACTGGCAAGAGCTACGACGAGAGCTGGATCCCCGACCACCACATCAACCGCCCCGTCGCCAAGCGTGTCAAGAGCGGTGCCAGTGGCAAGCTCAAGAAGGGCGAGTAGGACCGTGGCACCTTTACGAAGCGAGCCGCCTAAAAATGTGGATGCGTTGGACATGACAGCAACCAAGCGATCACAGATTGGCAACCCCTGAAGAAACCATCAAGCTGGAAAAGAGCTTATAGGATGTTCACATTGAGTTGATGTTGGAGAAGGAAAAACAAAAGTACTGTACAATAGCTGCATACCAAGGCAAGAAGCCAATGTTGGCGACGCCCGTAGGAGATACCGGAATTTTGTCATCGCCTTGAAGATCTGCTTTGAACAACATGTGAACGACACTTCGAATGTCTGTCGTCCATTGACGTTGTTTCACTCGCAACTAACGACGACAAGGAGATCATGCTGCCAAGAGCTTGTTGCAAGCCATGTGCCTACACCAAGCTTTGAGTTGTGTTCGCCTGTAATCTTGCCAACTCTCAGCATAAATGTGTAACTCTCATTCACTTGGACAAAGAAAAGCAAGTCTACCTTGGGTGATCCGACCTGAGACGCATCCAATTGAGGTTTCAGGGCCCTGATCTTACCTCAATGCGGTCAGAACTCTGATTAATTGTGCCAGAGCAGGGACCGGAGTATTCTTGTCCATGGAACCAGCGAAAAGTGCAATTTTGGCTCGCAATCCTTTTAATACCAAAATACAATGTATTGAGAGTGTTTGAGCCATTGCTAGATGATATATCTCATAAATCTAGATGCATCTCCATGGTTTTTGGTGCAGGTGCTTTCAGTCTGAAGTTGGGTGGCCCTGGACTCTTGGAAGGCACCTACCCCAGAAGCGGGTACCTACCTTTAGTGCTCAACGAACCTAAGGTAGTAGCTTCCCTATACGTGCGAGAGTGACACGCGAACGCGCTTTCCACCCACAAGGGTCGCTTTCACGCTATGTGTACCGGACCTTAATTGCACATTTGGGACTTGTCCACCCGCTTTCTGCTTCTTCTCTCCTTCGCACTTCACTCTCTCCCAGACTTTCTCGCGAACCCCATTCTCTCTGACCATTGCGGAGAAGAATTGTACAGTACTTCGAGGGGCTTTTCACGACCTTTGATTTCTTGCGTAATTTTTCCCCACATTTTCTTTTTCTTCGCAAATAACTTTCGTTCGATACACACACACAATATCTACAATGGCGCCAACCGTTGAAGAACCCGTGAAGCGCGGCCGCGGCAGGCCCCCCAAAGCCGATGGTCAGAAGAAGACGCCGTACGTCCCCACGGGACGTCCTCGTGGACGCCCAAAAGGCAGCGGAGGCGTGAAGAAGACGGTCGCACCTACTACCACTGGCACCAAGACGCGCGGAAGACCCAGAAAAGCTGACGACGCGACCGCGGCTACTCCCAAGAAGTCTGCTACGCCCAAGAAGGCGACACCAAAGTCTGCCGGCGCTGGCGGTCGCCGAGGCCGTCCTCGCAAGTCTGACGCCGCCGCCACACCCAAGGCCGAGTCTGCAAAGAAGGGCAAGGCTGCCAAAGAGGAGTTGCCCGCCGACTCCGACTCGGAGGACGGAGAGGAAGGTTAGCTAAAGACCTCTTCCCTTCGGGCTCGCGTACGAGTATGAACGTCAGCTCACTAAACATGAAGAACAGGAAACTAAGGAAGACGCCGCGATGAAGTCGCCCTCCGACGCCGCGGACTCTGCCGAAGAGGTGCGTCCCTGGCTGCCATCGAGAATGATACGAGGAATATTCGGCTGACCACGAAAATTTTAACCCACAGTAATACAATGGACGAAAGGGGAAGACCTTTTTGCTACATTTCGCACGGGATCTTGGGATTTTTCGTCTGGCGGACTCTGGGGAAAACACAAGAGGGCGTTGGGGTATCGCTTCCAATTTGTTTAATGGACTTATGACGGTCCTGGTCCTCTCCCGCCTGCAGACCGGGCGACACGCGAGACCCTGACCGTCACTGAGATACCATGCTTTTTGCTGAATACGAGACTATTTCGTCTTCACCCTTCTATGATTGTTATTGTGAAGGTGCAACCTTGCGTCTTTGGGCCGAGGTTCTGGTGCTCTACGCTTTGCTTTTCCTCAGTTGGGTCCCCTTGTTGCGCAACTGCGTATCGCAGTTGTGGTCTAACCGTCTTTATTCCTTTTTCCACACGACGAATTCTTCTGAGAGATGCTCCTTCAGCTTCGCAAAATGATTTTTGAAGTTATCCTTGCACCTCCAGCAAACGAGGTCTCTTTTCATGAGGTAGCCCTCGTGGCCGGGGTGACGCCTGGGATCGTCCGGGGCCAGTGGAAAATCGGCAACGTCGACAAGAAAAGGGGTGTTGAAGGAGTTGTAGTGCTTGCGATGCTTCAAGCACACCGAATACATGTCTCGCGAAAGTACGTGGACGTGCAAATGGTTCATGCTCGGATGCGCGTGTATGCCAGTAATGATCTCGGCGTGCCATTCACGGCCCTTGGGAAGCTCGGTGCCTGTCGGCTCTGCGCGTCCGTCGAGCACGGCTTCTCGATCTGCCTCGGCCTTGCTTTCCTTTGCGAACCGTCGCTGCAGCTCTTTGGCTACGAGCTCCTTCAGCTTCAAGACCTCGTTTTGTACCGTCGCTAAGAACTCGGGGTCGTCAAAGGCTTCGAATGGGTGGAGGAGGGTGTGTTTGGGGGATCGAGGGAGCAATAGCGTGTGGACGCTGGCTTTCGGGTACAGGTCATTGATGGCGACGAAATCGTCGTTATGGTAGATCACTCGCGAGGCCGGGAAGGAGGATGGGTTTTCGATGTATACGCCGAGGCCATCGCGGCTTGTGTGAGGGGGCTTGTTTCGAGAAGAAGCCTTGGGGGTTCTGGAGCCGGTTCGGGCTTGCGCTTCCGTGTCATGAGCTCTGCGACTGAGGGCGCGTGAAAATTAGAATACATGCGAAGCTTCGGGTAAGATTTCTGTAGAATGGCTTACAGGCGTTTCGCGGCTGTGCAGGTGCGGCGGCGGTCCCTTGGATCTCATCCTTGGTGATGGCATCTTCAGGATCCGAGTCTGTACCCGCCATTGTCTCTTGCTAGTGGGATGTTTGAAAGCTGGGCGTTGGGGGAGACTTTGCGTGTCGCCCAGAGTGTGCGCTGTGTTCAATGAGCCATTCTTTATAGAGAGTGCAATGGTAACGAAGACTCCGTAGCTTCGAAGCTGCGTCTTGCGATCTCGTTGCAACCAAAGGCTGTCTACCTCGGGTACGGCAACAAATGTGAATGTGCATCGGGCAGATTGGAGATCCAGCTAGGCCCTTCGGAGGATCTGGAGTTCGGCTTCATTACAATCGAGGTACCCACAGCGGGGGAGCTGCAGGAGGAGACGTGCCCCTCCATCCAGTGCCAGCCGCAACAAACGTCAAGGTCGCTGAGTGGCCACTGCAAACCGCCACTGCAACCGCTAACGGCAAATGGCTTTCTGCAACTGGGCTCCAACAACCACCCCAATCAACCTGGGAAATCCACGGGCAAATAAAATTTCCCAGTGCTTTCAGTGACATCGCAACGAGCTCATTCGCGCAGTTGATCTGAGGTGGCTCACGATCAACCGACTGCGTGCGTTCTCGTCTTCACCGCCAACAGGGTTTTCCATGGCTCAGACTTGCTCTTAGACAAGTACCTCGATACGCCACCAAACCATGGCACCGCCTAAGAAAGGCAAGGGAAAGGACAAGGCCGCCGCGCCTGCCCCAGCGGCGCAAGCAGCCGCATCGTCTTCCAACAATGGCGCCAAAGGCAAAAAGACTGGCGGTCTATCGCTCATGGAGCAGGCCGCCGGTCCAGCTGCCAACAAACCCACCGTCAAACAGATCATTGGCGGGTCGTCATGGACCGGAAAGCTGCCGCAGAACCTCTTCAATGAGTATTGCCAGAAGCAGCAGTGGGAGAAGCCAGTCTACGACATGCGCAAGACCCCAGAGGGATACGCCTGCTTCATCACCCTCAGCGCCAAGGACCCGAAGACGAAGGAGCTCATGACCCTGGACTCGTTCAAGATTGCGCCGGATTTCAAGCACCTGCTCACCAGGCCGACTGCCCTGGAAGCGAGACATGCCGCGGCTACGTATGCTCTCTTTAGGGTGTGCAGCATGCAGAACAAGCACATGGTGCTGCCGCCCGACTACAAGTCCATGTGGAAAGATTTCCAGGAAATCAAGAAGCAGGACGTCAAGGATGGCAAGGCGTGGATGTACGACGCGGACCCGTTCAAGACTCTCATGGAGAGGAAGGACACCAAGGCCGCGGCTGAGAAGAAGCGCAAGGAGGCGGAGGCGGCCAAGGAAAAGGCAAAGTCTATGCCTGGCGCATCTGGGTTGGCCGGCGCAAACGCTATGAAGGGCTGGGTGACGGCGCCAAAGATTGAGATGGGCAAGCGCTCGCGAACCCAGGTCGAAGCGCTGATTCAAAAATATGTTGTTTGGAACCCAAACAAGATCCAAATGCCAGCGCCTCAGAAAAAGGCGATTGTCGACGAGCTCAGCAAGCTGGGATTCCGAAGAAGTCACGTTGAGGAGGCCACAGAGATCTGCAAGGATCGTGAGGAGACGCTAGAGTGGCTGTTGATTCACGTTCCCGAGGACGATTTGCCACGATGGGCACTCCCGGAGAGCTATGCGGCGGGCATCTCGGTCGCGTCCATGGACCTCAAGAAGGAGGCCGTTATCAAGCGTCTCTCGGAATCCGGTTACGCCCTCGACCTGTGCGCTCGTGTCCTTGAGGAGGCCGGCGGCAGCGAGGGCCGGGCAGCCGAGCTCCTGCAGCTCCGTCTGTTGGGACAAGTGTCGGGAGACGAGTCGCGGTCGACCGCGGAAGATCTTCTTCCTCCCGGGGTCTCGGCGGACGAGCTCTGGGAAGATGAGGTTTCTGCGATGGAGTCTTCTTTCGGTGACCTATTCAAAAAAACATCGGCGGACATCATCCAAGTCAAGCTTGAAAAGGTCAAGAACGCAGGGAAGCCGGTTGAGGCAGCCGTGCAGGTTCGCAAGACGCCGAATTACCCTGCTCAGCTCAACTTTGCTGTTGTGGCGC